GCGTTCGAACAAAGTGCGCTGCAAAGTACCATCATAAACCAGATGTTTTAAACAAGAAAGTTATCTTTACTTGGTTCAAAATTATTAAAGTGACAGATTAATTATCCAATATTTTAACTAAATATGTGGACTCGTTACTTGTATCATGCGTGGATAAATGCCTTATTTTTGTACAATCTATATATTTAATTTAACTTTTACAAAAGTATTTTAGGAAGTAACTAGCAGACATTTGTGAATCTATTGCGTTCAATTTTTCTATTTATACAATTTGAAGTGTAATCAGTTTATCAAGATATTCAGAGTTATTTTAGTGAATCTTTATTGTAATATTTTTAGATTTAATTACAAAGTAAGTGATTAAGAGCACTATCTTAGCATATTCACTGCATTTGTTTGGAAAATATGACATTTTTCTTTTATTCAATTTTCTAATCGATGTTTAAAACGTGCATAACTGAAACGTAACTCTTTTATCCTAGTTGATTGATCACTATAAATGCTCCCTTTTAGACCTTTCAAAGCCAGTATAATTCTTCCTGAATATATATCGTCTGTAAGCAAATGATTTGCATTTTAAGCATTTGTTTATCAAAAGTTCATGCCACAACTCTTGGCAACAATACAAGGATTTATATACAAGAGCACGCAGCCAATAGCAGCTCAATGACCCTCACTTGTTTTACCAAAGTCCGCCATGTTGTATGAATGAGTTTCCTTCCTGTACACACACGTTATCCGCGATATACGTACTGAATAAACGTGCTCCGTGCTACACGTCTGTTTCCCCTATAGCTAGGCTATAGCTTAGCTGGTTCTGGGAGTCTAGCTAGATGTTGGAGAATCTGCCATAGAGAGTTCTGAGTCAGTCAGGCTTTACTAGTGTAGCAAACCGCTACAATTCCTTGTCATCTGCCTGTTTCCTCTAAAGCGTTACGGTTGCTTCGCTAATCTTGGAACCATTCCAAACTAGGAGTTCTTGCTTTTGGGAGATCAAAGCATAAGTTTGGTCAGTGAAGCAATCCGCTACACATTTCTCTTACTTTAAGTAGCTCCCCTTTGTCGAACTCTCACACCACGGTGCGAATAGAATTAAAATTTTTAATACCAAGGCCTATTATACTCTCCACATGAGTTTTTGGCGTATTTATTGAGTCTTGCTGATATGGACCTGGAATTCTCTCCAAATTTTAGTATATTCTCTCGCCTTGATTTGTTATTGATCGTAACAAGTGTTAATGTTGGTATTAAGCTGACCCTTGATTTCTATCCTCTCACTGTCTTCACCTTCAAATAATTTGAGTCCCATTTTACTCAGTTGTGTATTTCAAGATCATCTGGTGGAAACTCTGATATTTTCTTCTAATCCGTTGGGATGTAGATGCCTTGAATTTGAAGTTAGTCAAGGAAACAACTATAACTTTGCGCAGTTTAACAAACATGGAAATTTAGCGAATAATATACAGTAGGTTGTCTATTGAGTTTTCCTTGAATACAAATTATTCTTCCCGATCCACCTTTTACCCATTGCCTAATGAGTAAAAGGTATTTTGATTGGTTGCTCAGCCAAAAAAACATGTTAAATCAGTCAACTCGCTTTAGCACAAGCTTAAAACTGACACTTCATGTCGTCCAATTTGCTATTGCTCTTACTGTAGCTTCTTTATACATCCCATTCACCCCCGTCTTACGTAAATCGTTATCTTACCATTCTGGGAAAGCTTGCGCGTACGCTCTTAGCAACCGAGTTAACTTTCCCTTTTTGGTATTTCTACTTCGAACCCAGTTAAAATTAGACCACTTTGAGTCACATTCGACCACTTCCTCGGTACTTACTTTTTCCTTTTTCTCTCCACCTTTGAGTCTGCCTCTTTTACATCTGTGAATCACTCCTCTGTTACCCCCACCCTCACCCCCACCCCCACTCGACATCTTGACTTTGACATAAATAGAAGAAATTTTTGCCTATCAAATCGGATAAAAAAGAGGGAGGGGGGGGGGGATGGAAGGAGAGCAGAAAGGCCTCTTCAACAACTCTGGGGGAGTTAAGGAGGATTACCAAGCGTATATCTCTTCACACCAACAATACCTTTCCAAAATTTAATCTAATGACAATGATGGCATAATGAAACAAGTGAAAAAGTATATATTTTTACAATACCACCTGACTTAAAAGGTGGAGGGGAGGGGGGGGGAGTATTTACAAGTATCACAAATTAGTTCACACGTCAGATTTACTTCTCAATTAGAGTTCCTCGCCTCCGGCGTTTGGCGACCTGCTCATTTGCCTAAAAAGCAAAGAAAAGACAAATTTAACAATTATGGGGAGCATTCAAAATTAAATGCAGGGTTATCGAAAATACGTCCTTAAGCTCTTTGTACATTATGAGATACTAAAGATGGCAAACTGTAGAATCATATTATATATTATCAAAGAATAGCAATGTGAAATTTAAGATAACTTCTACTTACAACAGACACTCGAAAAGTTGAGAGCACAAAGTTATGAACAAATATTTCCTCTAAACCACAACTGTTAAAACAAAAAATTGGACTTCGGACGTCCCTGCTGCCTCATCTCCAGTTAAAAATCCCCGTTTGATACCATTGCTATCGTTCCTTCTATGACCTCCTAAGAAAGAGGTCTTCGGAAGCCCTTTAATAATTTCTCTTAGTTACTAAATAAGCACATACTCTAACAACATTGCTGGAATTACTTTTCCTACGCCTTAACCTGTAGGGTCTCTCATTGACCCTATGTTGGTAATGTTGGGTGTGCGATAGAATTACCTCCACGTGGTGCACTCTGGACAACGTANCCTCCACGTGGTGCACTCTGGACAACGTACACTCATACGGAAAATGGTCTATCAACCGACAGTTGACTTCTGACTTCGAACTACCATCACCGCAATGTATGTCATATTCAACCACTTCCACAGTACTCATCGTACCTTTTCCCTGCCTCTGTGTCTGTCTCTTTTACATCTGTGAATCACTCTTCTATTCCCCACCCCTCGACTTTCTGTTACCTTAATGTTCCTTCCCCCTGTGAAGCCCGAAGTCAGCTAAAGGACTAATGATAACTATCAAAACGCCTGTCACTTGAAAAGAATAAAAAATGCTGGTAATTCACTTAACAGCTTAAAGACTGCTCATTTGCAATCATCCACTTAAGCCTTAAGCCTTGTCCTTTATGCGAAAAGCAACTCTCCACTTCCCTTTCTTAGTGAATTTTCTCTTCAAGCTTTTACATGACTTTAACGGGCGCATATGGTGGAACTACCTGACCAAACCAGGACATCGAAAAATTGACATCCAAGGAAACTGATTGTTATAAAAGCATGCTTTGAAAAGATAAATAGACTAAAAGAAAATGATAATAGTCAACATCCTAAGGAAAAAAGCCTGAGCAACCAATTGGTAGATTGTACCATCAACTCTTCAAAAGGGAGAAGGCAATACAATACATTCTCATAAAAACAATTTTAAAGTCCTATTTCAATATACGTTTTTATACAACATTCTTCAATTCAAACTTGAACTTTGTTACTATTATGGTGAAAATTGAAGCTAAATGAAATATGAAAACATCAGTTCAACTCACTTCCAAGCAAAATAAAAAATCTACCAGCTCTAATACAAATAGCTGCCTGATTAATTATGCGATTAAGAATTAAGACCAAGAAATACCAACCTCATCAACAAGACGACGTTTAATAACTCCTCTTCTCATCAACTGAGCCTCAATGACGCGAACGTTTGCAGCATAAGAGTCTGCCACCTCCTTCGCTTCAGCTTCCTCTTCTTCGTCTTCAATGGTTGACACAGTTACAGCGGTATCAACACCCTGTGTAGTTTCCTGATTTTGAACCGATCGTCTCAACTTAGCTCCGGAATTCACAAATGTCAAAGGATTGACAGTCGATGACAAAGAACCCCCACCCTGTTGGGCCAAAGCTTCAGCCTGCGATGCGAGAGCAGTCAGTAATTTGACATTTGCCTCTCCCGCATCATTACCATCCAATTTCACCGTTCTTGACGCCAAAGCGGATGCTGATAGACCAATATTTCGCTCCTGAAGAGTTAAAGCACCTCGAACGATGAACTCAGCAACGTGATTCTTGACAGCATGCCTGTAAAACAAGAGAAGACTACAGCTTTTGCAGTAGCGACGAAACTGCTTCTCAATTCCATCGGTCCAACGGATGTAAACAGAACTAGACGCGCTTGCCTCAGTGGCAATGATCTTGTGGGCGTGTTTTTTAACATCAATCACCTTCGACTTGTCGCGAGGACGTTCAGGAAGTTTCTCGAGAGCACAGTCAAGAATAAGAGCCATGTGACCACAAATACAACAGTAAACGAAGAGGGGCTTTTCACTGCCGTAATTGTGCCTGTCTTTGTTGTCTGTCACAATATGAGTTACACGTTTTCTAACACGGGGTTTAGGATCCTTATTCATTGCTAAACAAATGACCTGAACCTTGCGTTCGAACAAAGTGCGATGCAAAGTACCATCATAAACTCTGTGTTTTAAACAAGATAATTGTCTTAACTTGGTTCAGAATTATTAAAGTGACAGATTAATTATCCAATATTTTAACTAAATATGTGGACTCGTTACTTGTATCATGCGTGGATAAATGCCTTATTTTTGTACAATCTATATATTTAATTTAACTTTTACAAAAGTATTTTAGGAAGTAACTAGCAGACATTTGTGAATCTATTGCGTTCAATTTTTCTATTTATACAATTTGAAGTGTAATCAGTTTATCAAGATATTCAGAGTTATTTTAGTGAATCTTTATTGTAATATTTTTAGATTTAATTACAAAGTAAGTGATTAAGAGCACTATCTTAGCATATTCACTGCATTTGTTTGGAAAATATAACACTTTTTTTATTCAATTTTCTAATCGATGGATAAAACGTGTATAACTAAATCGTTACTCCTTTTTTCCTAGTTGGTTGATCACTATAAATGCTCCCTTTTAGACCTTTCAAAGCCAGCATATTTTTTCATGAATATATATCGTCTGTAAGCAAATGATTTGCATTTTAAG